TAGTACACCCCCAAAACAAAATCAAGACTTTGTAAAAGAGCATAATAGGACCCCTTTAACATTTCACTGATACTTGTACTGAAGGTTAAAAAAATATATATATATAATATATATATATATATATATATATATATAAACTTTAAAACAAATGTTTAAAAATAAAATTCATGTTATATCAGTTCTGCTCATCTCCACCATGCAAGTTTCTTATTTTGCCTCATTTTTTGTATATATGTTACACATTTAGGAAAAAATAGACAATTGTGGTGGGAAAAAAAGAAAAGAAAAATAGAAACTTAAATTAAACCTACCGTCCATCCCTTGACAGGGCAAAAAGGACCCCTTCTCTCTGGAAGGGCATCAGTTTTCCCCCTAGTTTCTGTGGAAGGAGTTGAAGTGCATCCTTGTCATGGAGAGAAACCCCATCTGGACCAGATCTGCCTTGACTTCTCATGGTTTTCATACTCTGTATATTAGAAATACATTCAAAAAGATTCATTAGTAAATGAGATGCATTGTGGTTTGCAGTTAAATAAATGATGCATGCATCATATTATAACGCTGCATTCACACTCACCAAGAGACGATCATTTCTGAAATCCTGCTGCCATGATTTGACATTTCGCGGGAATACAGTCAGTGGCGTCACAGAACGCACCGTGCGTCATATCCGCGCGACCAGTGGCTATTTGTTAGAAATGAAAATATGTATCTGCAGTCATAAAATAATGTATGTTAGTTGTATGTTATTGACAATATATTGACGTATAAGAGATTTCACTGCATACTAACGGGAGGGTAAAAACAGACGCTTAATTAAGGGTGTTCGGTATCTTCAGATGTGTTTATTATATAAGTTACGGCGCCTCGGTGTTCTCATATTTATAAAACAGTCAAAAGAGTATTTTTAAACAAATACAGTAAGACGTAAGAGCAAATGCCACTCACTGGGTTTCTTTCACCCTTGTGTAGAGCTTAGAAATGTAAACAAAACCTAGAGCGAAGAAGAGTTGAAACAGAGCACTACTTCCGGTACGATCGTGTCACGTGACAAAAACATCTTCGCCACAAAAATCCAAAAGAAAAAGTTTATACTTACAATAAGCTATTATTTAAGCTATTAATTGTATATATACAATCTTTGCTATTATTGATATTTAGTTTATGAATTAGTTACATTTACATAAATGTGTACTGCATACATACAATGTGTTTTGATTTAATTAGACATATTATTCGCTTATTATTTTCTATTTAAAATACCTTTTGTTTTTTAATAAGTTCAATTCAATTTAAGTGAATGCCATTTGAAAGTTGCTTTAAGGTTTAGTGTTTTACTTATTAATTAAATAAAAATCATAAGAATATTATGCTTTTATTCGACAATAATTAGATTATTACATTATCCTCGAATTCTTGAAAGCATTTTAATGAACAACAACTCTGTTTAAAACGGCTAGAAATCGAATGTTCTGAATAATTTTTTATAGCCATTAAAATTAATTTTTAGTAATCGTTGTTGAATTATTGAGCCACGCTGCGCCCTCTTTAGGTATATATTGCTATTTCACCACATTAATTTAAATGTTCCCTTCCAGGTGTGTGAGTGTTTTGTCTTCAATGCCGCTGACAGACCGACAGCTTTGACTTCAGCCTTTAGCAGCCATTAGACTCATTATTTCTCTTCATTCCTCCAAATATTCATACGTCTGTCTATCCTACAGGTAAGCTTACAGCATATTAACACCCGTAACCCTTAAATATCAGGATTGTTTGGTGTAATTCCTGTCAATTAGAGTGATCTGGAAAGGTTGTGTGTTTAAACTCATTTAGCTTTACCATGTGTGTTAGCACACCACAGTGTTTTAGTCTTCATAATGATTTTAAACCAAACATCAGCCTCAGATGACTGACAACATGTCTTTTTAGTCTCAAAGTGTGTTTGATAAACACTCTGTGTGTTTTGCTTTTCGTGTATTTGAAGTAAATGTGATCAATGATCTTGCATATCAGGGCCAAGGAGAGATCAGACACATGAAGAGTAAATAAACATGCAGGTGTATAAATCACAGATATGTTCATGCTTTCATGTGCTTTATTTATTATTATTTTGTCTAGCTGCAGAACTGATGTGTTTTTGTAGCTTTAGGCTTGATCTTTGTAGGTTGATGAAGCTCCAGGCTTCATTCATAAGGGCCTGTGCAGGTGATTAAACCACCAGGAGGAGACGTGTAAAGACAATAAGTGTGTTTTTGTTTTGGTATTAAGTGTTATGTTTACGTCTGACACTTAATGAACTTGTTTATTTACACCCTTTTTGATGTTTTGCTTTGGAATTGCAATATATCGGTAACCATGTTGTTGTTTTTAAAACCTGATATTAAACCTTTTCTTCAGGTTTATATGGCAGATTTCATACTCGGCAATTATTAATATTTTTGCTCCATATTATAATGGCTACATACTGCTCAGTATATACACTGAAATATATTGATTTAGAGACTTACTTTTTTCAGTTTTCTATAGCAGATTTCAAACTTATTTTTAAAAATCTCTTTTTACCTTATAATCGTTACATACTGCACAGTATATACACTGGAAAATTGGTGCTTAACTAAATATTTTAGTAAATTTCGCAATCGGTTACAGAGAAACGTTGAACTAATCTTGAAATTTTGAAGTAGGAAGACTGAAATAGTAATTTTTGTTTTATAAAACCTTCTTCAATAATCTTTTATTTACAACTTTGAATTATTATTATTTTTTAACTTGGTGCTCGAATATTTTACACAAACACTGCACTCAACAATAAACATGCAACCTTATTATCAATCAAAACATTTATTTATTTATTTATTTATTTTTTGGTAGTTCTCTTGCTGGGAAATTCAACCATGTCGAACACAGTATCAGATTGGTGTGTTTTGTTTTATACTTTGTTTTTGTGCAAATTTATCAGATGATCCAGGTATTAAATCATACAAGAAATGTGCATACTATATGCAATATACATACTATGAACTACAGGAATAGTCTGGTACAATGGTATTTTAAATTATTTCTAAATTTAAGAGTGATGTTTCAATCTTGAACACTTCTTTGAAAAAGTAAACTAAACAGTATAGATTTAAAGTATTTTTGAGAATAAAACAATAAATAAAGATATACTAATTAAATTATCGGTACTGGCTGGAAATTTCTAGATCGTTGTGTGCCAATATCACACCTACGATCGAAATGTTTAGCCCTTTTTTTTTCTTTATTTCTACATTATTGAATTAATAATTGTGAAAATTTTTAAAGTAAAACGTATCTGATTTTAGGCTGCTTTTGATCATCCACATTTCCTAAATTGCATTTTTTGGTGTCATACTTAGTGAGATGCCTACCTTGGCTGCAGTTTTAGGCAAAACATCTTATGAGCTGCCTATCTATTCTAGACAGCTTTTTTTCTTTTTTTTTTTGGTGTCATACAAACCTGAAAAAAAGGTGAGCTCCTTTCCTAGACTGCATTTATTGCACATCAAACCTAGTGAGATTTTTTTTAAACTTCAGGTTGCTTAAGCATTTGCTACATGAATAATTATAAATATTTTTTTAGTAAAGTATGTTTGGTTTTGGGCTGCTTTCTTATTTTCACATTGTCCTTTTTTCCATCTTATGTCTTTGGCATGAAATTATGAAGTTTAGTCACCAAATGCTTTTTATCATTTCCGATTTAGATCAATTACAGTGACAGTTGGTCCTCTTTGTGTCCAACTCAAGGTCACGTCAGTGATCTTACCGATATTATAATCTGCAATGTTTTGCATTTGCAGTCCATATCTTTAATTATTCAGATTTCCAGCAGCCCAACAATATATTTTTTATAACCTGTTTCTTGTACGTGAACTTAATTTTTCTTGTAAAGCGCTGACATGATGCATAGTCTCGCACTAGGGGTTCTTTTTGACCTTGCGATTGTTCAGCTGTTATTATTTTATTTATATATATTTTTAAACACTCATGCGGTGTATTGTTAGGCGTCCTGGTTTCCTGTGCCGCCGGCCTGTTTCTGTCACGCCGAATATTAATGTCCGTGCGCGAGAGGCGCTGCGGTAAGGAATGATCCACGAGCTCCTGTTCGTACAAGCTCATCTGCATCACCACAGGAGGATTCTCACCTGCGCGCCCCCATCCCCCTTTCACCTGAGCATCACTTCATTTTGCAGCACCGCATTCGTTACAGACAATGAGTTGACTTTTATTTAATGATTTTTTGCCTAGTAGGTGATTGTGCTCTCTGTTCAACCAATAATTGCCATTTTCGTTTACGAAAATTAAACTAATACACTGAAATGCAGTTGAAATGGTGTCTGATGGAGATCAAAATCAGTTTGTTATATTTTTGCATGTCATTGTGAATGCTACCTGTTCACCCAATACGCACAGTGAATCTCAAACATGACCTTATGTGTTAAGAAGTACAACCAGTACTGTGATATGCAGCTGAAATGGTGTCCAAACTAGGTCAGAGGCATCTTATGTTTTTGAGAAAATATTTGCTATTGTCTTGATTGTTGACTGTTCACCTTGTGTGCCCTGTTCATCCAGTAACTGCCATGAATGTAAAGCAGGATCCTTAATTGATTTAATATTGTGATTGGTTACATTAACAATATGTAGAGATTGTTAGAGTTCGGACAAGAACTATTCATATGGTCTCTTGCTTTTTGGGGGAGGATTAAGGGGCATTTATACTGACTGGACACGTCTTTGTGTTTAAGCTAGTCATTGTGCATCCAAAAGCAACAGAATGCAAGGTATTGAAAGGCTTTTTTTTTTTTTTTTACTTTACACCTTTTTAAAAACATGACACCTTTGTTGTGCGTTTCTGAAAAACCGTGAAACACAATGCAACAGCCAAAGATGTCCATCTGACGCATGCATACACAGATCAGAAATTAACAATAGCCCACCTTGTGTGCTCGAGCACTTTTTTTCTGTCCAGTACTTGAGCAGTTAAACTGACCAAAATGAGAAATGAGGGATATATCACCTTATGCATTTACCTTTTCACCATGTGTGCCCTGTTCACCCATTAAAGTTCTGTAAATTTAGAAACAGGCGTTTGTGTTTAGGAGTATGCAGTGATATGTAGTTGGCTTGGTGTCCAAAAGAGGCCATAATCACCTTGGTAAGTTTTAGCAAAATATTATTTATCATTTTGAATGTTACCTTTTCAGCCTATGGGCCATGTTCACCCAAAAAGTAGTGAAAATTTAGAGCCAGGCTTTTGTGTTATTTAGTGTATAGTGGTATAGTTAAATTGGTGTCCAGAAGAGGTCAAAATCACCTTATGCTTTTGGTGAAATATATTATAATAAATAGAAGTGTATCCATTTGCCTTGTGCACACTGTTCACCCAAAAAGTACGTTGAATCGTTCTGCCAAATTTTTGTGTGGAGCAGTGAATAGTTGTATGCAGTTGAATTGGTGTTAAATTTATAAATTTTTTACAAAATAAGTTATCGTCTTATGCACCGTTCACCCAAAACGTAGTGTGAATTTAGAGCCAGATGTGTGTGTTAAAGAAAGTATAGTGATATAAAGTTGAAGTGGTATCCAAAAAAGGCCATAAAAACTTTTTGGCAAAATATTAGTTATCATTTTGAATGTTACCTTTTCACCTTGTGTGCCCTGTTTGCCCAAAAAGTGAGAATTCACAGCTGGACATCTGTGTTAGTGTGTGTACAGTTGAATCGGTGTTCAAAAAAGGGGTCAAGATCACCTTGTTATGCTTCTGCCAAAATATATGCTGTCATCTACGATTGTACCTGTTTGCCCTGTGCACCTTGTTCACCCAAAAAATAGATTGAATCTACAAGCTAGACATTTTTGTGAAGGAATGAACAATAATATGCAGTTAAACTCATGTCCCAAAGAGGTCAAAGTCTTGTTATGC